GCCATTTTAATGTTGTCAGAATAAACATGGAGGGTAAGCTAGATTGTGTCCTTTGCTGAGATGGCTACATGAATATTGGCACAAAATAATTCACCACCTTTGCATGAATGATCACTCTATAGGCTGTTCACATCTGTGCAATGACCTAACATCAAAGAGATTACCCTGAGGCCTGCCATGAGAGCAAACAGTGACTGTGTGATGTAGCTTTCATTTGATTTAGCCGAGTATTCACTTCACAACTTAGCTTACTACTTCTTCATGTGCAGAATTAATTAGCTGGTAGGCATTCGTGTGATATTTCAGATAATGATAGATTCTAATCATGTTAATGGTCCATTTGGTATGCACTAATGGATCTGTGTATTTCATTTAGATGCCCTGCTTCAATACAGCAGCTATCAGAGTGTGGCTCGATGTTCTGCTCAGTCGAAGACGAGTCCAAACACCCACTCATTTGTTTCGCCAGACAAATTTCCATACACTTTCCAGTAACTCTCGCTAGTTAGAATCTAAGCTTGATAGCATATATTTAACCATCTTGTGTGCATATCATTAGCTGTTTTTTTTTTCTTTTTTGCTTAAACAGACAAAATGTCAATGAGCTGCTGCTGATGAGGAGTCCTGAAGGCTTTATTCAGGCACTGCACCATTCTATCAGGTGTAATCAAATCAACTGGGAGTTTGTGGGCATGAGTCTGTGCCGGTGTGGGTGTGCTGCACATCAAACGAGACGAGGAGAGGAGAGGAGAAGAGCGTGTGCACAAGAAAAGGAGACAATCAACACAGATGGACAACTTCACCCACATAATAAGATGTGCAATATACTCGCTACAAAACAAGCGGGTCACATAGCTTCAGTACAAAAACTGCAGTGCAAAATAAAATGCGCATGTGACAGCACCCTTGTTAACCTTCACCATGTACCCATTTGTCTACCTGAATATCCACGCTGAGCTGTTGCACAATACGTGTGATGGTGAGTATGTGATTCTCCAGGAGCTTGCGGGAAACTGCCTCCACTTGGACAGAGCCACGGCCGGACTGCAGACCTGCTGCCACCTCCTCTTTGATCCTGAACGCCTGCTCCAGCAGCACAGCCAGTGTCCTATCCTGACTGCTCAAATGACCTTCCAAGACATCAGGCCTGAATCAGGAAATAAACACAAGCACGCTTTGAATCATAGCGTTTTAAAACCTCTTTATAGGTGATTTTGATCACTGAAAGGTGCAGGCTGCAAATCATGCAGAGTCATGTCAACATTTTCAAGCCTCGGAGGCACCAACACACATTCAAAAAAAATAAAAATAAAATCCTTTTACAGTATAATTCCACAAAGCATTCATTCACCCAGAGAAATAATGAAGACAGAATGAGATGATGTTGGTTTTCAAGCCCTTGGGTTATTGTCTCTGTGTCCCTGTGCAGGCTGCATCACCCTGCCTGATGCTATTGTGGATTAAGGATTAATTTTATCAATGTGATTCACAGCAGTGTTAGAAAGGTTCCCAACCTTATTTCCATCCCATCAGCTGGGGGGGAAATAGAACTTATCTATCTACTTCTACCCAGATTGATTTTAAAACTGAATTAGTGACCCACATGAACCAAGGAATGTGAAAAAAAACAACTAGATTATATACTGTAATAGTTTTGATGGCTGCAGTAAATAACAAAACAAAAAAAAAGATGAAATGCAGTAAGTCAATATAGTTACCTGGTGTGACTCGGATGGGGCTGCTGTGACATCCTTCTACAAAGAAACACATATTACATATATTGGTGTAGCAGCTTTCACTCAAATATGTCTAATCTGCTCTTAGCCTTATTGCTTTGTCAAACTTATTACTTACATATATTACTTAAACTGATGTGTCTAATCTGCTCTCTTAGCCTTACTGCTTTGTTCACTGTGCTATCATTCATTCACATTTGCATTTTTTTAAATTTGAAATGTTCCTCTGCAGGCATAATGAAACCCATATTGTACAGTATAATAGATTCCCTAGAATATTTTAAGCACTGATTTTCATTCCTCACATATCAGAATACTCACAGTTCTGTGCTTTCCTTCAGCCAGCTCTTGAGGTCATGTGTTTGTGTTGTCACTTAGTAACTGTGGTCTCCTTGAGTGGGGTGTGCCTGCTTTGCCAGCATGAACAGTAATGTGAGAGTGATGCATTGTTTATGTGGTCAGGCAGTTCAGCTCAGCAGAGAGAAATATTTGCCGACCAGAGTGTGAACATTGGTGTAACTCTGAGAAATGTAGCTGAGTAACTGAGCGCTGCACTTAGCAGCAATTCTCATGACAACAGTGATCAAAGCACATCTAGATGCGCTTTTGTCAAACGCAATTAAAATGTTACTGGTTACCGTCTGTCTTGAACTTCATTAGTGACTTGATAATGTTTAATAAAATGTTTCCTCAAAAATTGGATTTCATTTCCTGTCACCAAATATTGTATTTAACATTTCATTCCACTGGTGTTATAAACTACTAATCTTCCAGTACTGACAAAAGAGTTTAATTAATCCAGGGTTTGTTGCATTTGTCTAGTAAAGTACAATTGAGCCCTCTTTAATTAGTCTTACACGTCAGAAAACATCTATCTAGTAGAGCTTTAAATGCAGCTGTATGTGACCAATTCACTGCACAGATTACAAATGCACACTACTGACATTTTATTAACATTCTGAGTGAGTGAATCCATATTTACACTGATAGGAGGAAAAGCCATTTGCCATGGAACGGTTGAATCTACTCTGTCCGGCTGTACAAGGATGACAGAAGCTGTACCTGCACATAAAGTAAAGGTACAAGCATTGGTTTAAACCTTATACCCATTTGAAACATTTCAAAGTTTAACAGCAGAATTTTTCAAAAACTACTCTGTAGCTATTTGAGTGAAGCACTAAAACGTTGAATTACTTCAGTGGCTAATGAACTGTCCTGTCTTGTGGCTGAAACAGGCTTTAAAACAGATTATGTGATTATTTGAAGCAGGCACAGACAATACCGGCCAAATAATTAAAGACATCAACTCAGCATCCAATCCACAATGTAAGTATTTTTATGATGTGGCACTGTAGCTATCGAACAAACATATCTCTGATTGTGACGACGAAGATTATGGACCGATCATGTTTAATTTAACCAGACCCGCCTCTGCATTATCATATAGCATGAGTCAAGTCCCGTAGTAGCACTGATTTACATGCACTTGCATTCAGTAAAAGAACACAAGCGTCTGTGTGTCTGCTGTCTGTGTGCAGGTGTGTGCAGCCACATTCTGGATTAGTCTCTTATCAACAGGACAGGCTGCCCATTGCAGACTCATCAGTTTTCCACACTAGCCTAACAGAAAGCTTATGGCAGCAGAAAGGAACTGTTTGGCTCACATTCTCACATCTCCATTTACTTAACTGAAAGTGCAGTTGAGGGCAGTTAGTTTGGCCTACTGGTTGTAATTAAAGCATTTCATTTTGAAGGATCAATGAGCTACCGAGCAAAGAGATCCCACGCCACAACAAAACGTGTTATTTGCTTCTCATTCCATGTTGGACACACATCCAGACGGCTCACAGGTGCCTCTAGAGAAAAATAAAAAACAAGGTTGCAGAGGTTATATGCACGCCTCTGTAGAAGTTAGTGGTGCTATAAATCATCACACGCCACTGATGGCTGATTACAATTTTCTCATTATTAATGGGTCAAGGCAAACCGCCCCCAACTGAAAGCATCATCAACAGCACTTATACCGGCATCATCACTCCTACAAGTGATGCCAAGGTCGCATCACATGAACCGATGCCCATCCAAGCAGCGCACGAGGCTTTGGATATTCACTTCCTCCCAAACGGTTTAGTCTAATGACGTTCATCCAGGCATAACATTCTCTCTCTTTTGTATTTTACTTGTGCAGGTTCGGAGATAAAAGGTCATTCTGTGACCTCTTGTGTGTGCGTACGTGTGCAGACGGAAAGATGTACTCATTCTCACTGCCTCTGTTTGTGTTTATGTGAAAATGGGCACAGTGTTAACCGAGGGGACAGAACAGGCCAGCGCTGAAACAAGGACCAGAGGGGAAGACGTAATGAGTTATTATACACATCGCAGCAGCAATAGCAGCACAGTAACTAAACAGAGAAGAGGCTGCTCGGTGCTGCCTGCACGCTGCTGCACGTGGGTGATAACATTCTCTGAAGCCTGACCTATTTGGTGGGAAGAACGCATCTAGACATGGCTACAAATGCAGGAACATGCACATGGCACAAAAGAGAACATGACTATGAAACATCTGAGGTGTCAGACTGCCCATCAGCTCTGGGGTGACCAAGGTCAGTGTTTTGAAAAAGAATTTAAAAAAAAAAAAAGGTGTAAATCACTGTGCACATATCACACACGCACACATGTCAAACTACAAAGAGATAAACAAAGATGAGGGTGACAGGGAAGCCACAACTGAATCATAAACATCTCCGCTGGGCACTGTGGGCTTGTGTTACGCAATCACCAGCATACAGATTATCCAGTCAAGTGACATGGTTGGCCAGAGGGAGGCGCGGTGCATCCTTCGTCCTTCATTTGAATATCACAATTAATGGGCAAGTTTACCTAACCCCTAGTAGAACACAGTGCACAGAACAGGACTTCAAAGACAGTCAAGCGCAGCATTTTGCAAACATATTTTGGCTTTTTATTTTTTTATTTTGTTTTTGCAGAAGTCATTCAATGAGCTCCAACTTTGCCTCTGAAGTGAGATGAATCTTCAGCAGATGAGGACATTTCTTGCCGTCTAACCACGGTGCTGCAGAGCATGATCAAAACTGACAGAGCTGTCTGGGTAGACGTTCTACAAGGTTCGTTGAGAGACTGACACCCCCTTCATCATCGCACCGTGCGTCTCGTTCTTGGCGCTCTGAACTGATCATCAGTGAAGTGCACCCGAGCTGCAGCAGCCCAACTGTGACATCCCTCCACTGCACAGAGTGAGCTCAGGCTGGCTGGCTGCTGCACAGGCACCATGGAGCAAAAATCACCCAAAGAGGACAGCACGGCCAAGGGACAGGAGTCTCTGTCCTACCAGCGGAGGATGTGGAAGAATTTCCAAGTGAAAACCAAGCCATGGCTCAGTCCTAAACTGGGGTCGGAGCGTCGCGGTGCCGGGGGCGCGGAGGGTAACAAAAAGGAGTCGGGGTTGTGGATGTTTAAGAGGAAAAAGAAACAACTGGACCGGGTGTTTTCGTCGTCTCAGCCGAACCTATGCTCTACGCCGGCACCTTTTGAAGGAGATAAGTCTCTTGGAGGCGACGCGGTCCCCGGCACCAGCAGCGACGGAAAGCCTCTGCTACAGACCCTTGGAGCAGCTTCTGGCTCCACGGGGAGCAAACCGGAGCTGACGGGGCACGGAAGCCCCAAACTGCCCGTATCCCAGCTGATCATGTACCAGCAGAAGAGCTCCTCTCTCGGCTCGGCGTGCTTCGAGAAGCTGGTGGTGGACCCGGCCGCGGGGCTCGGAGAGGAGGAGCAGCTGCGTAAAAACGCAAGTGATTCTGTGAGTAAAGAGTCGTGTAGTAGCACACGCATCTAGCAGGTCACCCATTACTACCAAGTAAGGTTATTGCAAAGGTTAAAATCCTCAAGGAAGCGGGCCGGACTTCATCGCACTGGAAATTAAATGAAGGAGACAAGTTTCATGACGCTGCGTCGCCGTCTCTGCTCCTATCATGTGATGCGCTCATTGATTTTCCGGTCCACTGATTTCTTTACTCTGTCCTGTAGCATGCACGACTGTATTGGCAAGATCAGTACAAGCAGTGCCAGTGCAGACCTATGTGATCATCAGCAACAGCTTACACCACAAACTGCTGATAATCATGTCACCATCCCTACCATCCCATGGTACACATCCTGGCTGATTATTTCAATTAAAGAATCCCTGAATGGATTTCTGCACAGGTTACACACGCCCTGATTGCTTTAACAGCCTCCTATTGGCGGCTCACATTCTTTTCTTCCAATATAAAGACTGTCCCTTAGCTTCACAGTCCATCTGTCACAGTGTCCTTGGCTGTGTGCAGACTGTGCAGCAGACCCACGTATGCTCAGGGGTTCATAAAGCATTTTCTTTTCATGAAAAGCAGCCAGATGGCAAACAGTCATCACCAAAAGTCGCCACTAATATCAGAGACTGATGGCTGATATTTCCCACACCATTCAACGTGCTGAGTCAGGGTGCCCCAGGAGAAACAGTATCAGAGGGACATGTCAGCTCGTGTAGACCAGTTGTGAAGGCAACAGACAAGAGTGATAATTAAAATAAAAAATAATAAAAAAAAGTAGTCTTGAATGTCATCTCTGGACTTGTGCCTCGTTGCCTGCTTGTGGTCCAGTTCACCACCTACAGCAGGTCACTTCAGACAGGCTGTTCGGATATTTAATAGCATGGGAATAACACCGAAGACATAGTGTGTGTGAAGTGCATTCAGTTTCAGGGGCAGCAGTTATTGCTATAAGCGTTTCATCTCAGCACTTTTGAAGTGGTCCAGACCTGCTTCTGAGCATCATCCAGATCGCTGTCAAAAAGTGATTTAAGCATTTTAAGTACACTTCTGCCCCTGCCGGAGCTGGCGAAAGATCTCTTACCCATTAATTCTCTACGGAAAGTGCAGCGTACTCAGCTGAAGAGGCAAAAGAAAGCAAGCGTAGTGATTTCATTGAGATTGATCTTACAACTTCATCATAACAC